CAAGAGACTGCGCAAGTATGGCGGCCAGTGTGCTCCGTTTCTTATTGGCTGATATATAATCATACTTTAATATATTGTGAAGTTTGATAAGATGATAACATAGAATATAAAATATTTTGAAATTTAAATTCATTTTTTTTTTTTGAAATTTGGCTGCGCAAATTTCAATAAATTTTATATTTTCTCTTGTTTAGGTACAACTCACTAGTCACTACTCAATTAATTGGTTATCATGCCAGTTTGTGTGTATGAAGGGTGTGWCAGTGGTAGCAAAATGAAAAACATTACAAAAGATCCTAGTATACATCTTCACAGATTTCCTAAAAACCCAGAAATGAGAGAAAGGTGGGCTAGGCAAATTAGGAAAGGATGTGAAGTACCTACCGAATATTAATTTTGAAACCGGTATATACTTGAATTTTGATATTAGAATTTATTTAATCTCTACAATTGTTTGTTTTAGCCAAGTTAGAATTTAATTTGTTATTACTAGGTGTAGTTTGTTCTCTTCATTTTGCTCCATATTCCATAGAGGAAAAATCATATGCACAAAAATTTGTTTTGTATTCTCCTAAAAATCGGAGAAAATTAAAACCAGATGCAATACCTTTGACGTAATGTTTCTTTTAGATATTATTTTTGTATGTACCCATGTGGCATGTACAAAACATTTTTTATTTTATAGTAAACATGGATTGGAATATCATGATATTCCTTTTCAGAAAAATTACATGCTAATGAATTAACAACACTTACAAACCATTCTCCTACCACAGTTAAAACATCTAGTGGAATTTTTGAAATAACTGAAACTAAGAGAGAAATGTAAATAATATATAATAATTCTTATGTTTCACCATTTCACCAATGYCAATGAACTTTGTAATGATGATAATTTCAGCCCTGTTTGAACTACACTATTTGGTGATTTATGTGATGAGTTGGAGGCACACAATTTAGTTGAAGATGACATGTTAGATCCCAATGTGATATCCGTAGAAGAAACAAACCAAAAGTACCAATTTTATAAATGCATGCAACAAATTCTGTACAATTTATGTTATTTCTTCTGAACCTTTTGTGTTAATATGTTAAAAACTTATGTTATTAATTTATTTTGGTCGGTTTTTTTAAAATGCCTATGAGATTAATAACAAGTTTTTACTATTGCAAATACTGCAATTGAAGAAATTTTATTTTTAAGAATATTAAAATAAAGTATATTTTTTTTAGTATTAATTAATAACAATTTTAGTTATGAAAAAGTCAGTACCTACTATAATATTAAATTWAATTTTCTTACTTAAGAATAGTAAAATGTGTAGAAAATTCTAGTCTAACATAATAAACTTTGTTTAATTTTTAATCTGATGATTTTTTAAATCAAAACTGGTTAATACAATTCCAAAAATGTCTTCTTTTCTTTTCTTTTCTTTTTTTTATATTTGTATTAATATATATTTATATAGCTTGATAAAATAACATAATATAGCATGATGATATTTTATTGTATCATATTTTATGTTTGTATAAATAAATGTGTTTTTTTAAATTTTGTTATGCTAATTTATGTTTGTAGTTTTGCTCTATGTTGTAAGATAAATAATGTTACTAAAATGTTATTGTTTGTCAATTACGTTTAATATTATAAAATATATAATGAAATGTAAATATATTCAATAAAACAAGTAGGTTAAAGCTGTATTCAATTAAATAAATACAATTATGATGCACATGATTAAATTTTGTTCTATAAGCTAACATATAATTCCTTTATTTGCACGCAGAATGCAGGAAACAATAGAAAAATATAAACAGGAAAACGAAAAACTTAAAAATGAACAAATTAAATTAAAAGAAATAATTTCTATTCAAAAAGCTCAAAAACAAAATTTACAGGATTCTCTTAATAAAATAGATGGTACTTTTAATTCACGGATTCATACAATATTTTCAAAATTATTCACACCAACACAGATTGACGCTATTTTAAATAACAATAAAACTATTTACAAATGGACACCTGAAAATATTGCCTCTGCCATATCATTGAGAAGTGTTTCTCCAAAAGCAACAGGCCAAACATAATAAAACAACT